ATGGACTGCCAGAAGAATGAAAAATATGTCTTGAAAGAAGTACAGCTGGAATGTTCCTTAGAAGCAAGAATGGCTCAACCGCCTCTCACCTACTCTTGTCATGTAATCCAAAGGGACCAGTCCCTAGAGAAGGATATCATGTTTGGTAGAGCATCATTAAAAAAGGGGACGACCCCAACATATGACAGAGTGGTTGCCACAGTGGGCTCAAGCATAGCAAGGATTGTGAGGATGGTGCAGGACTGGGCAGTGTTTTGTTCTGTTGTACATGGGATTGCTGTGAGTTGGAGAGGACTTGACAGCACCCAACAACAACATCACTTCCTTGTTTCTTGGCCCGTAGAGTGGGTGCAACATGAGAATCGCAATAACATAAACTTTAGCAGTCATTTTCATATTCTTTTGGGCTGTGTTAGAATCGGTCTGTAAGTACACATAAGAAAGGGCCCTACAAAAATATGGTAGCAGCTGTTAGGTGTTAAGTAGATAAGACCTTTCTCAGTTCTAAGGGAATCCTCTGGATGGCAGCCAGGATATATGTCCCTCTGAGATCACTGTCCTCACGTGTTATTATAGAAACTGATAAACTTCTAAAAGTGACCAGACTGAGTAATTCTAAGAAGAACTTAGAAACTGGAGGCCAAGTCTGTATTGAGTGTTAACGGGAAGGAGGATGAATTTGGTTATGAGATATCTTGGTAATTTATATCGAAAAGGTGGGAAGATTAAAGGGAGTTAAAGAAAACATATTCATTCATGTTATTGGAAGAGAGAAATGTTTAGCTACTTCTGTGGTCTTGTCCCTGTCTTGGTACAGACATAATTACAGAAGTGGCCTTTTCTCTGGCTTGTTCCATCTTAGTCATGGAATGGACTTGTCTAATTATTATTCATAGTCTACAAGGATTATTTATGTTCAGTTGGGAGCAACATATCAGCTGCCATTTCTAGGGCCAACTTTAAATTTTTTTTTTTTTTTTTTAAATTGTGATTTAGGTGAAAGTTTACAGAGAAAATTCATTTTCCATACAGCAGCTCACACATGCTTTGTCTCATGACATTGACTGCAATTTCCCACAATGTAATAGCTCCCCTCCTATTTCCTCCCCATAATCACGTCTTCCCTGTGTCCTTCCCTCCCATGCACTCCTGCCCCCTCCCTGAGCTTTCTCCCTGTGCATACATAGCCCTTCTAATCTCCCATGATTGAGCTCTTCAAGGAATGTATCTACCTAATATAAACGTCCAGTGGATATGCCTGTCTTTTGTTTGGCTGGAAGCCACAGGAATGGGTTCAATTCCAGACCTGAAGGGCAGCTAGGGGCCATAGTCTCAGGGGTTCTACCAGTCTCTATCAGACCAACAAACCTGGTCTCTAGGGCCATTTTTCAATTTCTCAGCATCATTGATAGTTCCTTTCTCCATTTTTCTTTTTACTTTGCTGAGGATAAGATGATTGTACCCAAACCTTGACATTAATCATACTGGCATAGTGGCTCTAATTCTGCAGATTCTTCCTTTGTTCTCATATACTGGAATAATACATGGATGAATTGAAAATAGAACTTTTTCTTTTTTTTATTTAGAGATTTACTTTTGGGTTTTCTTCTATGGTTGGTGCAGGCTGATTGTTCACCAAATGTGTTCTGGCTATTCCAACTCCTAGCTATATTTTAGGACAGAATAGAACTTCCTCATAGGGTTTTCAAAGCTGTAAATCTTTACAGAAGCAGACTGCCCCATTTTTCTCCTACAGAGTGTTGGTGGATTCAAACCACTGATCTTTTGGTTAACAGCTCCATACTTTAACCACAGCATCACCAGAGCTCCTTGAGTTCTTCATAGATCATCACAAAGATAGCTCACAGTTGAATCTTATGGGATGAGTACTGTTCCCTTGAACATCTGTATTCCAGGTGCAGAGACAGGATCAAAGAATACAACCTTCATTAGTTATTTTTCTGCTGAGGAAGAGTGGGGCTTCTCAGAGGGGGACATTTTTTTTCATGTTGCAAACCTTAAGATACCACAAAAACCAAACTAAACTCACTGCCATCAAGTCAATTCTGACTTATAGCAACTCCCTTTGGGTTTCTGAGGCAGTAAATCTTTACAGAATTAGATTGTCCCATCTTCCTTCTGTGAAGTGGTTGGTGGGTTTGAACTGCCAACCTTCTGACTAACAGTCAGAACCTTAGGCACCGCACCACCAGAGCTCTTCTTATCAAATCTCTCTCTGTGTGTGTGTGTGTGTGTGTGTGTGTGTGTGACAGAGAGAGTGAGAGAGAGAGAAAGAGAGTGAGAGTGAGAGCAAGAGGGAGAGAGAGAGGGAGAGAGAGAAAGAAGGCGAGAGATGAGTGCTTTTTATAATGTCAGTTACCCAATGTTGAAATAATCCTTATTAACATCCATTATTATTATTCATTGAGGTTTATTAGTGCTAAACACTTTTGTTTCCATGTGTTATATTTACCTAATTAACTAATACCCAAACTCCATAAAGCCAATTATATTAAAAATTCAATGGTTCATAATAACAAATGGGCAGTAGTTTGTGATGTGCATCAAAACATTTTTATTATTGCTGTGTTATTATGTTAAAGATGTTTTAGTGTGTCTGGAAGTGTTTCTTTAATGTTTTTTATGTGTAGAGGGGTACACTATATACTAAGACAAACATTTGTCTAACTGGTGTTAGATAGGAGCTGTACCTAACTGTTCCAACTTACATACAAATTTTACTTAAAGACAGACTTAGGAATGGAACTGGTTCGTAATCTGGGAACTGCCTGTACAAAGATACTTATAGATGTTGGGCTCCACTCAATATTACTGAATCAAAATCCTCAGGACTGGGCTACAGTCATTTAGACTTTGAAAAAGTCTCCCTGGTCATTCAAATGCTTCTACCCATTGGAAATCACCCAGCAGTTTCATGAAAGAAAGACCTAGAGATCGATTTCTGTAAATTTATAGGCAAGAAAATCCTATGGGGGCAATTTTACTCTTCCACATGGGGTCACTATAAGCCAGAATTGACTGGATGGCACCCAACAACAAGTGTAGGCTACACACCAATGTATTTTTAAGCTAAGAATTTATCTGTATTTTTGCTTTTTATCAAGTATTCATTTATTCAATATTTATGGACTATCTGTTATGTGTACAGCTCTATACCAGATGTGAAAAGGTCAGAGAAGGAAAAAAATATCTCAACTGCCTTATAGATGGTTGTTGTTGTTGTTGTTATGTGCCATTGAGTCGGACCCGACTCATAGAGACCCCTCCTTGGGTTGCCGAGGCAGTATCACTACGAAAGTAGATTGCCCAACCTTCCTTCCAAGGAGTGGCCGGTGGGTTTGAACCACCAGCCTCCTGGTTATCAGTCAAATGCCTTAGGCACTATGCTACCAGAGATCCCCTTATAGATGGTAGGAAAGGTGATATTTAAATGTGTAACTTATTTATCATGTTATATATATATGGAAAACTCCAAACCAAGCTCACTGCCATTGGGTTGATTCTGACTCATAGCAATGCCCATTGGGTTTCTGAGGCTGTAAATCTTTACATAAGTAGATTGCTCCATCTTCCTTCTGCAGAACAGCTGGTGGGTTTGAACTGCCAAACTTCTGGTTAGCAGTCAAATGCCTTAAGCACTGTGCCACCACAACTTCTTTCTATATATATCTGACTCTATGGCACATAACAAAACAACAACATAACACACACACACACACACACATACATATATATATGTGATATGTAAATAATTCCATAGACAGGAAGTGTTGAATAATATTTATTGATACAAATAGAGTGCTATGGATATTCAGTGGAAGAAGACATTACTTTCAAAGGTACAGGGTTGGTAACAAAAAAGGGAAAACTTCAGAGAAAAACGGACTCTTGAAGTAGGATTTGAGCACAAGAAGTTATGTTATTTCACATAATGTATGCACTGAGTAAATTGTATGTGGCTTTCTGGGTTTGAAGAAATCAGTTGTGATGTGATGAGAAGAGTTATGAAGAGCACCATGTAGCAAGAACTGGGCTCCAAGAGCCAGCAAGGAAGAGGGGAACTCAGTCCTACAATCACAATAAGATGAATTCTTCCAACAACCTGAGGAGTTTGGAAGCAGATATACCCCCAGTGGAGCCTCAGCTGAGAATCCAGTCCTGGTGGAAACCTTGATCGTAGCCTTGCAAAGGACGCAGCCAAGCCAAGTCAGGATTCCTGATCAGGTGTGCTCTTCAAGTCACTAAGTTTATGGAAATTTGTTGCACAGCAATAGATAATGAGTACAGATTCTGGAACTGCAATATAATTTTATTTCCCTGTTGAGAGATATTCATTACCTGGACCTTGGTTCCATAAACAACACTACAATAAATGTCTTTGAAGATAGGGCATTATGAACTTGAACTTTGATTTCTCTAACTCAATTTGCAGGAGTAAAATTCTGGATTGCAGATGTTTTTTTCTTCTTTGAAAAATACATTACTGATTCCTTCCAAAGTAAAATAACACTTCAATTTTCCATTAATGATAGATGAGTATTCTTTTCCTTATATCTCAGCAAGTAACAGGCATTACCATTCTTTTTCAATTTTAGGCAGTTGGATGGTGTAGAGTGGTTCTCTCATTGTTATTTTAATTTGCTTTTCACTATTAGTAAGATCAATCACTTTTCTATATTGGTTGGCTGTTTAGTTTTAATTTTCTAAAAATTGGCACTGTTAGTTTGTCAGTCTGGTTGTTTACATACATACCAAAACAAAACAAAACAAAAATCCCATGAAACTCACTGTGGTGGAGTCGGATCTGACTCATAGTGACCCCTCCATGGGTTTCTGAGGCAGTATCACTATGGAAGTAGATTGCCCAATCTTCCTTCCGAGGAGTGGCTGGTGGGTTTGAACTGCCAGCCTTCTGGTTAGCAGTCAAATGCCTTAGGCACTAGGCTACCAGAGCTCCTATTTACATATATGTTGTCAAACTAGAAGCACTTTTTTCTGATCCCCTTTAGAGCTTCTTTCACTTCATGGTTTCTTAAGCTGTAGATCATGGGATTTATCATGGGGACCATGATGCCATAAAACACAGAGGCTGCTTTCTCATGCTCTTGAGTCTCAGTGCTACTATGGGGTAGATACATGTAAGAGAGAGCCCCGTAGAGAATGGTGATGGCTGTCAAGTGAGAGGCACACGTGGAGAAGGCTTTTTTCCTCCCAGCTGTAGAAGATATCTTCACGATGGCAGCCAGGATATATGTATAGGAAAAGATGATAATTAACACAGTGAATACCAAGTTAAACCCCACAAAGACTGCAAGTAGCATGATGCTGAAATCAACATTGGAGCATGCGAGGGCCAGAATTGGGGGCTCATCACAGAAAAAGTGGTTAATTTCATTGGATTTGCAAAATTTCAATGAGAAAGTAAAACTTGTGTTTACAGAGGCATTTGTGAAGCCCATGAAGTATGAGGCAACTAACAGTTGAGTGCAGACTCTTTGGGACATGATTACTGGATAGTGGAGTGGGTTACAGATAGCCACATAGCGGTCCACTGCCATAGCAGCCAGGATATAGAGGTCACATGTTGCAAAAATACCATAGACTAGTAATTGTACCATACATCCTGTGAATGAGATAGATTTTTCTGTCCCTATGAAGTTTTGCAACATCTTGGGAGTGATAGCAGAGGAGTAACAGAGATCAACAAAAGCCAAGTGTTGAAGGAAGAAGTACATGGGAGTGTGAAGGCCAGAATCAATTTTGATGAGTAGAATCATCCCAACATTACCCACTAGGGTGGTCACATAGATCACTAAAAATACTAGGAAGAGGATATGCCAAAATTTGTGTTGCCCAGCAAATCCCAGGAGAACAAATTCAGTCACTTGAGTGCCATTGTGCAGTTTCATGGTTAGCAGAATTTAAATATCAGCTGGAGACTTGCAAAGAAAGAACAGAGAAATCTAAGATCATTATAATCCTTCAACTCATTCCAGAATTGGAAATGGTATAATATTTGGGTTCATAGTGGGGTCAGAGGATATTTTCAATGGCATAACTGATTTGAATTTAAAAGACAATATTGTAGATGGCTGAAACCTGTCCCCAACTTCAATAACTTTATTCCACAGTGTGGGGAAATTGCCGTGGAGCACCAGCTGTGCTCTCAGAGTGCAAACTGATGAATATTTCATAAGTATATCTTCTAAGGAAGATGAAAAATTCACACTTTTACTTAGTTTTGGTTCCTTTTATACACTATATATTTTAATTAAAATACACCTTAATACCTAAATATAAATTATTTTATCTGAAAATCTTGAGTCACTCATGGAGTTCCCTTTTATCTTGCTCCTACTTAATTGCCTGTCCTCATCTTACATCTCTCACTTCCTTTCTGACTGTGCAGTAGCCAGAATTTTACAGGCTGGTAAATGAAACAGGAATTAAATAGGTGACAGCACTACATACCCCATAGACATAGAAAAGGTGATAAGAAATTACTATAAACAACTTTTCCTTTTGCTTGTTAGCTGCTGTCACATTGGCCCTGACTCATGGTGACCCCATAAGCAACAGGACTGGACCATTGGGATCCATAGGGCTTTCATTGGCTGATTTATTTTTCGTGAAGTATATTGCCAGGCCGTTCTTCCTTTCGTGTCTGGAAGTTCAACTGAAACATGTTCAGCCTCACAGCAACACATATGCCTCCACTGACAGATGAGTCTTGGCTGCACTTAAGGTATAACTGCTGGGACTTGAACCTGGATTTCCTGCATGGAAGGTGAGAATTTTACCACTGGACCACCACTGCTCTCATGAACAACTTTACATACATTAATCTGACAAGTTAGATGAAATGGATTAATTCATTGAAAGTACAAACTATCACAACTTGGGCATTATGGAATAGACAATTTCAATAGCCCTATAAGTAGTAAGGGAGCTCTGGTAGCATAGTGGCTAAAGCACTTGACTGCTAACCAGAAGGCTGGCGGTTCAAACCCACCAGCCACTCCTCGGAAGGAAGGTTGGGCAATCTACTTCCGTAGTGATACTGCCTCGGAAACCCAAGGAGGGGTCTCTATGAGTCGGGTCCGACTCGATGGCACATAACAACAACAACAACAACGTAAGTAGTAAGGGAGCTCTGGTGGCACTGTGCCTAAGGTATTTGACTGCTAACCAGAAGGGTGACAGTTCAAACCCATCAGCCACTCCTCAGAAGGAAGGTTGGGCAATCTACTTCTGTAGGGCTACCACCTCAGAATCCCAAGGATGGGTCATTGTAAGTGGGATCTGACTCAACAGCAGTGAGAGTTATAACTTGTAAGGAAATTAAATTTGTAAATTGAAATCTCCCCAAAAGGGAATCACTGAATATTTAAATCATAAAGTATTTAAAGACTTGACATCAAATTACACAATCTCTTCCAATAAATAGAAGTAAAAAGAACACTTCCCAACTCATTCTATGAATCCAGTATTACCCTGATAACAAGACCAGACAAAAACAGTACAAAAAACTAAAATAAACAAAAGGTACAGCCCAATATTGGTCATGAATATAGACACAAAATATTAGAAAATACACTTAACCAATAAATATAAGAACTTTATACCACAACCAAGTGAGATTTATCCTGGAGTGGAAGTCAAGTTCAATATCTGAAAATGAATTAATGTAATCCACCATATTAATAGTCTAATGAAAAAATATCAGAGGATCATATAAAGTGATTTGCAAATTCAATACCCATTCATGATAAAAACTTTCAGAAACTACGAATAGAGGGAGGACACCCTCAACATTATAAAGAACATCTACGAAATTTCCTTACACCTGACATTATAGTTAATGGTTAAAGACTGAATACTTTTGCCCTAAGATAGAGACCAGGGTAAGGATGTCTACTCTCACCACTGCTTTTCAACACACTCCTGGAATGTCTAGTCAATGCAATAAGAAAAGAAAAGAAAATTAGAGACATACAGATCAGAAAGGAAGAAATGAAACTGTCCCTATTTCCAGATGACATGGTGATCAATTTAGAAAAATCCCAAGAACTCTACCAAAAGCTCCTAAAACTAATAAGTGAATTCGACAAGGTCACAAGGTAGGTGCAAGATAAACATACAAAAATCAATTATGTTTCTATTCTGGCAATGAGTATATGGGAGTCAACTAAAAAACACAACACATTTAAAACCCCTAAAAGAAATACTTAAGTGTAAATCTAACAAATCTGTAAAGGACTTGTGTACTGAAAATTATGAAATGCCAAAGAAAGAAAGCAAAGAAGATCTAAATAAATAGATATATCTGTTCACAGATTGGTAGAATCAACATTGTAAATGTCAATTCTCCCCAAATTAATGTCAGGTTTAACACAATTTGTATAAAAATCTCTGTAGCATCTTTAATTATAGATGATATTATTAAATTATTACAGAATAAACTGAACTAAAATATCAAATACAATCTTGAATACGAAGAATAAAGGGGGATGCATTATTCCACCTGGTCTTGAGATTTATAATGTAACTAAAATAATAAGGGCTGTGTTATTGGTAGAGGCATAAACAAAAAGGTGGAACAACATAAAGAACTTAGAAACACATCCACACATATACAGCCAACTGATTTTTTACAGAGGTGCAAAAGCAGTTCAGTGGAGGAAGGGTAACAAATGGTGCTGCGGCAATTGGGTATCCATAGACAAAAGCATGAACCATGACCCTGAAACTCGCACTTTTCCAAAGTACCTCAAAAGGTATCACTGAACTGTGTATAAAATGTGAAACTAAAAACATTTCAGGAGATATAATATCTCTTAGATGATAGCATTGAGACTCAGGGCTTGGACATAATACCAGAAGCACAACCCATTAAACAACAACAAAAAAATTGATACATTGAACCTTATCAAAATTAAAACATTTGCTTTTACTTTTTATTTGTGAAACTCCCTGTTAAGAGGATGGGAAGGTATGCTACAGACTAGTAGAAAATAGTTGCAAACCACGTATTTGATGAGGGACCCATATCTAGAGTATACAAAGAGCTCTTAAAATTAAATATTAAAACAAATCAATACAGTTAGAAAATGGGCAAAAACAAACAAACAAAAGAGATGGATGAACATTTCACCAAAGAGGCATATATGATGGAAAATAAACACATGAAAAGGTGTTCAATACCATCAGGAAAATGCAAATTAAGAACACATGAGATAGTACTACAAATCAGACTGGCTAAAAACAAAACAAACAAAAAACAAAACAAAACAAAAAAATCTAGTGACAATACCAAGAGCTGGTGAGGACACAGAGAAAAGTATCTCTCATACATTCCTGGTGGGAACATGAAATGATACAGTCACTCTGGAAAATAGTTTGAGTTTCGTTAAAAAAATAAACACACACGTACCATGCAACCCAGCAACTGCACTCTTGGGATATTATGTTAACAAAAAACTTATATCTGCACAAATAATTTTTCATAGCAACTTTTTAAAAATTTGTAATAGCCAAAAACTATGAACAACCCAAATGTCTACAGCATTAAATGATTAAATAAACTGTGCTACACCACAACACCACCACCACTGAGACTACCCAGCAATAAAGAGGGAAAAACGATTGAATACACACAACGACGTGAAAGGATCTCAAGTACTTTATGCTGAATGACAAAGCTAGTCTCAAAAGTCACATATTGTATGATTCCACTTGCATAATATTTGCAAAAAAGACAAAATGATGGAGATGGAGTGCAGATTGGTAACTGCCAGGGATTAGGGAGAAAGGGGAGTGTGACTCTCAGAGGTAGTAACAGGGAGGTCTTTGTGGTGATGTATCTTGATTGTGATGTTGGTCACACCAATCTACACATGTGATGAAATAACTGAGAACTATGAACATATGTTATATCAATACCAAATTCCTGATGTTGATATCCTAGTATAATGATGTAAGAGGAAACCACTTGCGAGAAACTTGGTGAAGGGTACATGTGGCCTTTCTCTATGGTCTTTGCAACTTCCTGTGAATATAGAGGAGTTCAAAAAAATTGAGAAGAGCAGGAAAAAAGCAAAAGCTGCTTTGCAGTGATGTGAGGTTCAAGTGACCAGATTTATGTAAACTTCCTAGCACAGAGCCATGGACTGAATGGGTACTCCACAAATCATCATAATAATGCATGCAAGCAATACACTAAGGTCATGTAATATTGGTTCATTCATTCACTCAATGAGTCAATGATTGGTTCATGCATATCCTTTCCTGGCCAACACTCAACCCAACTCAGTGCCCTTACTCCATTTCCTCTACATCATCAGCAATGAAATGAGTCTTGTAGGTCTTGGTGGAACTTGATCTCTGACTCTTGCTCTATCACTTCCCATAGAAACTCCAATGATATGCAGCTCATTTTGAAAGACAGGATTCTCTTTGTTTAACTTACACTAGATTTTCTTGGCGCTATGGTAGCGTAGTACCTAAGGCACTTGACTGCTAACCAGAAAGCTGGCAGTTCAAACCCACCAGTCACTCCTAGGAAGGAAGGTTGGACAATCTATTTATGTAGTGATACCGACTCGGAAACCCAAGGAAGGGTCGCTATGAGTCGGGTCTGACTCAATGGCAAATAACAACAGCAACAGATTTTCTTGCTGCACCTCGTGAAGGCTGCTTGCCCTGTGGTGTCTCTCTCTGTGGTTCGTCTTGATCAGGGAGTTTATAGCTGGGACCTAAGGGATCAGCGTTGTTCCCTTGAGAATCTGAGGTTCCTGGGACTGAGAAGGAACTGAGAAGAAACAATAACATTCATTATTGTTATTATTATTATTTGACAAATAAACTCTCCTGAGAGAACACGTGTTATTTCTACGCTGCTGCCTTCTGA